CTCAGTTGTGTCATACAGCAGAGTGAGGCAGAAGGACACGGTTTCTGATAATAGCATAGATAGAGCAAAAACAACTCCAGCTACGTTTTTGATGAGCGAACAATGTAACATGGTTTAAAGCTGTGTACAAAAAAAGCCTTCGATTTTGACACAATAATGCTCTAAAAGGTCTGAATGAAACTGGAAACCAACACAGCTATGTGTAAATATAACTGTAGCACCCGAAGGAAGTCCACAAAGACATTGGAGAACTTGCAAACTCTTCACACGATTGAAAGACCAATTTCTAAATATATCAAGACGACACTGGGTGGAACAGGTCTTAAAACAGTTTAGGATATCAAATATACATTATCATTATACAATATCACTCAATATCATTCCACATTAAAGTCCAAAACAATTTATATGTGGCAAATCACCTCAATAGAAAAACAAAACGCTTAAGCAGTAGTTGCGTTTCTTCTTAATCCCACACTAAATCAACAGGTCGAGTAGAAAGTGGAAGTATGCACTGTAAAGAAGAGCTTTTACAGGAAAGAACAACGCTGAAGTACACGGCTGTCCCGAGGCAAATCCACCCACTTCTAAATTAACACCAGACTCACACAACACTCACCGTTTACTCACAGAATTTACTTTCAGTCTTGTGTGTTCCCTATTGATGTGATAAAATTACATTGATAAACTGAAGGAATGATCAAGAAGATGGATTTTGAGACACCCCAAAGCAGAAAAAAGAAAGAAAATCCATAAGCATTCAAGGTATTGAAGAAATTAAATGATGGATTTTATTGCAATGGTTTTTGTATGTGTACATTTATACTATCATTTTAAACATAGTACTTGCTATAAAATTAGAGAACATTTTATATAATAACCCAAAATAATGGTGTGATATTTGAGTGCTTTTTTGTGGTTCATATTGTGGCTGGTTTTGCTCAACAAAGTCTCATTTACGGTCTCTTTTCATGTATGGGTAGTGCTATCTAAACTACAGATAACCACAAAACATGAATGAATCTATTATTTGTTGTCAATATGCACATCCATACCTGAACCACATTTTGAGAACCACTGGTATAGGATACAGTCCTGCACCGTCTAACAAAGACACAAACCATCTGGTGCCGGCTGAGACAATCTGTCCATTTGGAACCACGACAGAGGAGGTGATAAGCACGGCACAAATATAAAAAAAATAAGTCCTTGGATCTGTGTCAGCAAATGCAATTCAGCTCTCAAAAGCACAGAAAACACAACCTCATTCGTTTATACAAAGTGCACATATCTGGTCTCTATGGTAACTAGAAGCTGTCATGGCAACCGAGTACAAGACTATCATCAGGACCGATTTACTTCTTTGACTCATTGTCCTGTAACACACAAACCATTTGGTAAGAACCTTATTGAGAAATTTTGGAAAGAATACATTGGAAACAAGTATGTTGCAACAGAAGTGATACAAGGGCAAGTTAGACCACGTACAGCGCTTAAAATACCAGGAAACCCAGAGGCAGGCCTAGAAATGAGAGCAGTCGTAATAAAACTGGATGTCTTTGCAGTTGCAGGGATTGTGTTTTATTGTATAATTATTCTACTGTGCCTTGGAAAAATATTGATTCTCCACGAACTCTTCCACAATCTGTTAATGTTTTATTCTATTTCTTTGTGTAAAGATCACAGTAGCAGACAATTGTGATTGATTGATACATGCCTTTGATACAATTGATAATGCCTTTATTTATGGATTTAATAAAACAACTAAAAATGGGTTTTAAAAAAGTATTCATACCCTGTGAGTTAATATGCTTTACTATGCTGTGGAACCATCTTACTTACTATCTTAAGTCTTTTGGTCCATCTCTAACTTTTGCACATCTAGAGATTGAAGCAGCAGTTTTACAATCTGTCTACAGATATAACTTTGACTGGACCAGGGACATTTCCAAACATAAAGCATATATTTGGAGATAATGTGGTAGTTAAACTTCCACCCCATCCTCAAGTCACTAGCTGACTCCAAAATATTTTCTACACAGATTGCCCTGAAAATTGCACAATTTTCCTGACAATCAATTCTGATACTTTTCCATGTCCCTGCGGAACAGCAGCAGCCCCACAGCATGATGCTGCCCCCACCAAGGTGTACAAAGCTTGGTAAGTCCTTATGGTGTGGACTTCAAGCTATTAAGTGATGGAAATTATCCAAACAAACATCACAGAACATCAAATGAACTCTACTTAATAGTTTAGTTAAGCCAATTATTTGACCATTCATCAATAATCGGGGAACTTCTAAAGGCAATTGTTTTGACTCAAAGAAATGTTGACTTAATACCTTAGCAACCCACACTTTCTCAATTGTTTTTATTTGTGAACAATGAAATCATATATAGTTTCGCTTTCGCATCATAGCTGCCATTTTGTGTTGGTCTTTTAAAAATACTGCTTTGTGTTAAATCAGGTTGAAGTGCAGAATTTATTACATATGAAACTATTACATATGTGAAGAACGGTATATTATTGGGCGAAATGGCAGCTCACTGACAGCGCAGTAATGAGAGGTCACAGTGAAGCCCCCACCACTCTCCCCACTTGTTCTCAAACAAGTCATTTACGGCCTGATCCCCAGTGATATCAGGGTTCAGTCACGTAGCACAAAACATTACCGAAATCACTCCCAGAGGACCACAGACTATCTGCACTCCACCACCACCTTCCCAAAACCAAATCCAATTGCCTTGCACCAGCTCTCCGAGGACGCACTTGAAATGAGAGCAATTTGCAGCCTTGACGCAGTACAAGACAATCAAACAAACAGAGGAACAACACTGCCATCTTGTGGTGATGAATGAGCAATGGCAGCATCTTCACATACCGCAGAGAAATTAATATGCATTCAGTAGCGACACATATGCTATGCAGATAATGGACTGGGAGAACATTTCTATCTAGTGCTGTGAAAAGTCAAATAATTGGCTAAATAGTTGATCTAAATAAAAGAAAATCTGTTCCAATATACTATCCATTAATACACAAGTATTGCAATTATGCTAAGTTGTATGAAGAACTAAAATACTATTGATAAACATCAGACGTAGATATAATTCTGTGCTGCAAATAATATTCCTCTATATAAAGTACTTTTTTCAACATCAAACAATTGAGTGTGAATGTTTTTTAGTGTGGCAACTGTGCTAAGGATTATATATATATATATATATATATATATATATATATATATATATATATATATATATATATCTTCACAATTCAAAAAAAGTATTATTTTATCAGAAATTAGTGCTGGACTAATAACCATTAAAACTTGCAAGGGAAAGCACTGCAATGATGGAATACATCTAAATAATTTTTTTCATTTTCTGTATCATTAACATTTATCTAACTGTTTTTACAATGGAAGTGTGTTTCATTGAATGCCTTTTGAGAAGATCAAATGTTATGACAGATTTGACCTGTGTGATTGATGCAAATACAAGAGTCCTGACACTGCTCTGGGACCAAGGCAAAGATCAGCCCTCCAGTAATCAGTGCATCACATAACAGCAGCAACCTTGGAGAAAGCATATTCATACAACATGGATGAACAAATTAATCTACTATATTTCTTTATTACATGAAACCACAACAGTATTTGGGTCTAGACACCGACACAGGGCCAGGAGCTCATAATGTTATACTGTACCTACTGTACCAGCAAAGTTATCAACTATCATTTTCAGAAAAAAACAATGATTAAAAATCAAACAATACAGAATATTGTTGTTGTTTGCTTCTTAGATGGAAGTAAATGCCAAGAACTTATGTTATCTGTATTTATACTGTAACTTATGCAGGTCATAAAGGTAAACTCATTTAATTCCCCGTCATGTATTTTTAGAATGGGTAAAGGTTTTCATTGTGTATTGGATTGTTCATTCACATTTCTACAATGCTCAAAACAGTCAATATGCCATTTATATGTGTATTTATATATGTCCATTGGCTAAATGTATCCCATCCTGATGTGGTTTATCCAAGAACAAACCCCTCCGATCTATTTAAGTCCAAATGTGTGCATACGTCCATGCACAAATATGAGATTAGTGGATCTCTGAAAGCACAGGTGAAAACACCTATACTACGGCACATATATGACAAACATATTCACACGTAGCCTGCCTCACATATGAGTTTACACTGCTTCACACACAGACAGAGCGCAGTGTGTGGGTGGTATCCCTTTTGCCGTCAAACATCTTGCATCCCACATGCTTATGTAACTCCCTCTCCACCTCCTCCAGCCGATCACTCTTCTCTTTATCCTCCGCTGGGAAGGGAAACATCCATTTTCCCATTCCCATCCCATTCAAAATGATCCGCAATCAAGGGTGATGTGGGTATACTCAGGATATCAAGAGATCACATTGTTTTGATGAATTACAGCAGTGGAGAGAGCCTCTCCTAAGCCATATGGGACAGTGTGTGAGTCACTTGTAGTAAATGTCACTTCTGATTTAAATAGTATTAGTGAAAGTAATATATTACAGATGTGCATATCAACTAGAAAAGGAATACAAATACAGCCTTGAAATAAGGTGTCCCCACTAATAGTCCTACTACAATTAACTGATCTTAGTCATAAACCATAAAGAGCAAAGAGTATCAGAATAGTCCAGGATAAACATGAGAGGAAATGGTATATATAAAAACTATAAAAAGCGTGGGGCCAGATTAGGTCTATCAGAGAAGCTTGAACAGATGATGCATTTTCTTCTCTTGTACTAAATATTTGTTTTGTAGTTGATTAACGTTTATAAATAAATCAAATAATGTACATTCTAATGTGAATTGAAATACAAAGTGATCAGATTACATTGTTGATTTGGATGCAGTGGTTGTACATTCTATATAATCTATATAATATAATATATCATTGTTATAATAATAAAACAGTTTATGTAAATATAATCCAGACATATATGTAAGGCACTTACATTAATGAGCTCTATCTCCCAGATTTTCTTGACCAGCTCCATGGAAGTGTAGCCATTTACAAGGAAAGACTTTGTGTAGTCCCCGAGCTCCAGAGACTCCAGCCACTCTGCCACGGAGGTGGGGTTGTTCCCGTCGTAACCTACAGGCCTCACCTGGAACACAAGATTAGGATTATTATCAAGAAAACGCAAAAGCATATAGTTTTTATTTTTTTTTTATCTGATGTAATCTACTACTAGCACTAACCAGAACCCGGTTTAACAGATAATTACGTAAGGATATTTCTGTGAGGAATAAAATGTACATTTAAACAGAAATCATTGTTATGTTTGCTCTCAATGTTCTACAGTTTCACATGTTTTAAGTAAACAAGAAATAACCACATACAGTAGTTGTGGTAATTCCCTTAAACTCTAACTCTAATCTTTTTTAATGAATTGCACAATTAAACTAACTTAGTTTATTGTTTGAAATCTAGTCTACAGTCTGAGAAAATTATTTTATAACAAGTTTAAAATGCCTGATTAAAAACTGTAGTACTGACCCTTGGTAGAAGCCGTATGGCCTGGAGGAGCCGTTGTCTGTGGGCAGAGTTAAGAATCCCAATCTCCAGCAGGTCCTGGTCCTCCACTACATTACTGCCCTAAAATAAACAAGAAAGTGAAAATAATAATATTAAACATAATAATAATAATAATGCAGTTTTCATTTGACATCAAACCAGAAAGTGCACAATAAAACATTTAAATTACATAAAACACAGCACACACAAACTAGAATTAGTAACATGTCATTTGGGGAGTATTGAGCGTCGTCAGCATAGAAGATCTCCATGCCTAGTGACAACACACCCGAGGGTAAGAAAGTAGATGGAGAAGAGGGTTGGACAGAATATGGGGCCCTGGGGGACTCCACAGTGTTGGGTCGAGAGTTTGAAATCCCCTGATTCGAATACTCGGTCAGGGGCGAAACCACTGAAGGGCACTGTCAAAGAAGCTGATGTAGTTCTGAAGGTGGGGAGGAGGATGTGGTGGTCTCAGGGCATAATCCTTACTGCCACAGAATAACAGCAGCAGCTTAGCGTCACCGGAGTGATGTCTGTCACGATCATATCTCCATGGCAATACTATAACATTACTACTGTACATTGTTCCACAGGCTGGCATTACAACAATTACTACTTTAATTACAATTACAACTACAATTAATACACAACACTGAATCAAAACCTGAACATATAAAAAAAACAACGTCAGAGCTTGGTCCATTCACAAACTACAAACACATAGCAGGTCTGTATAAGACACAGCTCCAGCTTTAATTAATGCAGTGGTTGTCATTGGAGACCTATCAGTCTCCCTCCTGCAGAGAGGCAGCAGAGCACGCTTAATAGTTGCACATAAAAAACAGTGGAAGGAGCAAGGAGACAGTGAGGAGTTAATGCTGAAAAACGTATAAAAATATTGGGGGCATATGGTTGCTGTCAGAGCAACATCCCTCACCTGCCACATGTGATTGAAATGTGACAGTCGCTGCTCACCCAAACACTGAGCTTTCAGAGAGCAGCAACATAACAGTCTGAGATTTTGACTCAATACATGAAAAAACCATCTTCTCTCCAATGTAAAACATTTGTATACAACGTTTATCAAAATTAAACCCTTTATTCTCTTATGTGGTGCTCTATCTTTAAATCTATGTTGTGGATTTTTGTAATGACCCTTTCAAGGTTCTGCTCTTATTTGGCACTTTAAATTTAAAGTGCGCTATAAATTGAATTGTGTAAGGACTTTATGTCTAATGACTGTATTCTTTAGATCTTTGACATTTAATCATGAAATGTACTTTCACATAAAGGGAATGTTTACGAGCAATTTAAGCACTAAAATAGTATTATTACTACAAATTTCAAAGTTTTTGTTCAGCAGCAATGATTGCTTTCTAGTGTTTTGATTGCATGATGTAATCAAGTTGCATGATTACCCCCTTTGTGACATCACCAGTGTTCTTCTCCATGGATTCCCTTTGGTCGTCTTTCAAGAGCGCATGGTTTTTGTATTACTATTAGTTGTTGTGGCTTTTAATCCTTCTTCACTTTCCATTTTATTTTGGTTAAAGCTTGTGCTTCAGAAGTCCCGGGTTTGATTCCTGGGCCAGACCTAACCTTTCTATGTGGAGTTTGCATATTCTTCCTGAATCTGTGTAGGTTTCCTCCAGGTGCTACAGCTTCCCCTAGCACAAAAAAAATGTACAATAGGTATGAATGTATGAGTAAACGGTTGGGGCTCCTAGCGTTTGTCTCCTGTGTCAGGGGAACCTTATTTACATCACTGTGTGTGGAAAGTACTTTGTGACTCTCAGTCTGTGAAAGGTTCTCTATAAGTCAAGAAAATTTACAAGAAAAGGTTATTCAAACTTTAGCGCACCAAAATGGAAAACATAACTTGTGAAATACAAACACCACAAGATATTAAATGTTGAAATTGTCTTAAGAGTTAAGAGAAGTATTTAGAAGATAAGATGAACTTTATTGATCTCACAAAGGAAAATGTTACATCAGGAAATCAGGATTAAAACGGAAAGTGAGAGAAGAAGAAATGCCACAAGACTGAAAACCAATCCAACAAAGAAAATCAGTCTAGAAATAGAAAATAAAAAATGTAGATCTGCAAAATGCTGAAAGTCAACAGGGTGCAAGTTCAACATAATTGCCTTTCTGTTTTCCTCAGATAAAGTCTTCAAGATTCATAGAATGAATTCACCAGAGCAGCACTGCACACATCACACCAGGTATCCCGTCTGCTGCATCCCGCAGGTGACTGAGAGGAATCATTCTTAATCTTGTCCTTTCCGCTATCAGCACCGTACACTCCTGTATTATATTCCATATTCTAGTCAGCTCATGTTTAACTGCAGTCTGAGGACTATACAAGGTGAAAAGGCCTCTTAGCTGCTGTCTGAAGCTATAAAGTAGACCGACTTGAAAGCCAATTAGAGCTCAGAAGTGCAACATATATCAGTGATGCAAAGGCGGCAGATAACGGGGATGTCTTCACCTCGAAGCTCATAAGGATTTTTTTTTTTAGAAGGAAAAATGTGATATTGAATGATATGGCAAATTACACCTTCAGTAGTAAACATGCAGTGAGTGTTTCATGAACTGCTTCAACGAGAGATGCAACAGAATGTATTTACGTCTCAATGTGTTATAGGCAATATATTAACTATTAAGAAGTTCCGCTATTGAAAGTTTTCTCCATAACTCTTCTCCTGCTCCAGTAAGTCACAATATTGGATGTGAATAAAGCTTGAGCTGACAATTATGCAATTATTCAGTCAGTGAGAAGTTTTTTACAGTATCAATTACAATTTCATTTGTTCCACTTAAACTGAAGACATTTTTAGTACCAATGTTCTTAATAAGCCTCCTATTCCACATGTACAATACATTTTAATACTTACAATTTCCTTATGGTCTCTGGCCTAGTAATTTTACTAATCCAGAAAAGCTTGACCTGAATTGGCTACTGAACACACCCCACTCTAGTGACCCATTAATGATCCGTGAAAACAGTAATATGATTTCAAGGCACCGTTCAGTGTGAAGTATACGTACAAAATCAACACACTAAATCAGGGGTCTTCAACCTGTAGCTCACCAGCCATTTTCAGAAAGCCTCATATGATCCTGGGAAGCTAACAAAAACAATACTGATGCTTATTATATCTATTTCCGCTATAACTGTTGATGTAGATACCTGACCAGCCATGCAGAAGGATCTGGGTCTGTTCTCAGTACTATGTTATGAACTCTTATGACCAAATGGACTTTCACACCCTGCAGGACACCCAGAGCAAATTCAGTGACAGACTGGTCCACCCCTGTTATGTGAAGGAGAGGTTCTGCTGCTGTGCAATAATGTGCAATAACGTCAGAATGACCACTTTCAGCCCAGAGCTTGCAGCACGAGGCTCGCAGTATAATATTCAGAGTGCAGTGGTAGCATCACTGTACTCTTCTGTAACTTTAAGAAAAGAGTAATGTTTCTGGTCTCATTACAAATGTGCTAAAACCAGTCAGCTTTGATATATTTAGTTTAGACATCAGCTCATTTTATCAAGATTAATGTCATTGGCTTGAACATAACCACGTGTATTCTTAACAGTAGAAGCTGCAGACACAAAGTTGTAAACTCCCCAAAGTTGAATGATGTATTTCACAGGGAAATGTGGTGTGATCAACACACTGACCATGTGTCGAGGGCAAACACACAAGCCAGATCCTGAAGCTGTGAGTTCTACTGGTTGCTATGGTAACCTGTAAAATTAGTATCAGGTTGTGCATATAAAATTGCACTTGCAGACACTCAAAATGGCATAAGAACTGCTTAGATGATGTGTGGTCCCAGACTGCAACCTTAAAATTATACCAGGATAAGAGGCTTGATATTTCAATCCTGATTATATATATATATATATATTATATATTATATATATAATAGAGCGATAGAGGCCCAGATATACCACACCAGACAAGACCCAAGGTGTCGGTTGTGCAAAGAGGCACCTGAGACGATCCAACACATAACTGCAGGGTGCAAGATGCTGGCAGGGAAGGCCTACATGGAACGCAATAACCAAGTGGCTGGCATAGTGTACAGAAACATCTGTGGAGAGTATGGGCTGGAAACCCCAAGGTCTAAGTGGGAAACTCCTGGAAAATGAGCGTGCGAAGATCTTGTGGGACTTCCAGATACAGACCGACCGAATGGTAATGGCAAACCAACCTGACATCGTGGTGGTAGACAAAGGGCAGAGGACAGCCGTGATGGTGGACGTGGCAATTCCAAGCGATGGTAACATCCGGAAAAAAGAACATGAAAAGCTTGAGAAATACCAAGGTCTCAGAGAGGAGCTGGAGAGGGCCTGGAGGGTAAAGGTGACAGTAGTGCCCGTGGTGATCGGTGCACTCGGGGCAGTGACCCCGAAGCTAGATGAGTGGTTACAGCGGATCCCCGGAACAACCTCGGACATCTCGGTCCAGAAATGTGCAGTGCTAGGAACAGCAAAGATACTGCGCAGAACCCTCAAGCTCCCTGGCCTCTGGTAGAGGACCCGAGCTTAGAGAGGGATAACCGCCCGCGGAGGGCCAAAGGTGAGTGGACAATTTTTTTTTTTTTTATATATATTAGGGCTGTCCAAAATAGCGCGTTATTAACGCGTTAACGCAAATCAATATTAACGCCGTCATTTTTTTTATCGCGCAATAAAAAAAAAAAAAAAAAATTTTTTTTTTTTTTACTTTTTATTGCAGACAAACACATATACAGAAAAAAAAATAGAAACAAAGAAAAGGACTAGCTCAGATACATTGTAGACAGAGATTACAAACAATATGTAGTTGGAGATACAGGGGGCCAAAGAAGAAACCCAGAAGGGCACATAGGAGGGGAGGGGGGGGGGGGGGGGGATGAAGTGGGAGATGGGGGGAGGGGTTAATAAAAAAGGCAATACAAGCAAACAGTATACAGTCATAGATATACCGAAGGTAAACAGAGAAACAGCATAGAGTATTTACATGAACAAATTTACAAAATATTTACAGATTGTTTATCATCATCATAATGACACCATGATGTTTCTATACAGTCTATACCCACACATACACATTGAAGGGGCTTTTTGTTACCAATTATTTATTTTGTCATCCATTTATTGATGATTTTGCATCAAATGTTAGTGTGTAATATAACACTACACATTGTTTTCAATAAAAAAAGCAATTGCACACAGCACGCAAATGTGTGACTAATTTGCGATTAATCGCGAGTTAACTATGAAATTCATGCGATTAATCGCGATTAAATATTTTAATCGTTGGACAGCACTAATATATATATATTATATATATCACATTTGGTTTAAGATTAAGTATAATATTTGAACTTTTACACTGAAAGGGTTGGCTGGTGCTACCTACGTGTGATTTACAACATTCTACATAAAACATACATCTAATGTGGAATTCTGAAGTTTACATGTGAATGATTAATATTATTTTCTGCAAAGAGAGAGGTTTAACTTCAGTGAGAATAAAATCATATATTTTTACATAATTTATCACCAGAACTGCACCTCCACTGCATCAAACGCAAAAATCTCCTAAGGAATCCTCTTGTTACGTCACGCACAAAACCATGGACTCGCATTCCAATCCAGAGGCTACAGGTGGTTGTCAGCCAGGTATTTAAGACATAATAGTCAATGACGGCATTGATAGACATTCTGTGACAGCTCCAGCATGATTGGTCTAAAAACACATTTTGTCTGCAGTGGTCATGAACATCTGCAGTGAGATATAGGAGGAGAATTAGCTGAGAAGACGTGGCGTAGGAGGACCTCACATGGCATCAGTGGAGAGGCAGAGAGAAAGATAGGAGGAGGAAGTTACATTGTATTGTCCTGGGAACTAAGTCGCCTGCATTTGATCCTTCCTCCCTTTTAATTGTCATAAACAAAACATAACAAAACATAACTGATGAATTATGATGTGAAGGACGAATAAGGTGTGATGGAGGGGTTAGTATTTTTGTGGAAATACTCACCAAAAATTGCACATTGTCAAAGCCATTGGCCAGCAGGTGGTTCTCATACTGGACCAGACCAATCGAGTCCAACCACTGCCCCACGGACTGGAGCGGGCACCGGGGACCTATGAGGGGGTGGAGAGGCAAACGCTTCAGTAGAGAGTAACCATCCACGCGGTAACAGCGACAGTCCGGCTGAGACAACTGGCACTGCCACATCATGTTATTGCGGGCTAAGTGGCTATCAAAAGAGCCCGCCATGCTTCCAAGGAGTCTTTGAGCAAGGCAGTAGGAAGGGGGTTAAGAGGGGAGGGGCCAGGGGCACAGGTGTGGAGAAACACCAGGGATAAAAGGCTAGGCTAAAAGCATGGTGAAGATATAAGGGTCCAGCATGCAAGAGAGGCAAGACGCTAGTCCAGTTCTAAATCCACCAGAAAACAGCTTAAGTTGTATCCACACACGCTGTTTTATCCTGGGGTAAAAATCCTGCGCTCAGGGTTGAACCAGAGGTATAGATCCTTCTGTCGGTGTGCAGCCACTGCTTTTTCTTTTTCAGCTGTTGCGCTCACTTGGCTGCTCCCTCAATTGTGTGTGAGACAGAGAGAGAGAAACGTACATGCGCTGTAGTTTCTCTGTATCAACTACTCCCACTCTCATCTGTATGCTCCTGCAGCCTCTCCCTCTCCTCTCCCCTGCGCATCCCTGCTCCACATTCTCTCTCACCTCCCTCTGTCTGCCTCCACTGTGGTGTGGAGCTTCACCCCGCTCTACATATATCTGGCTTGGTCCACGGATAATAGACATCACAACAGCACTGTCTTCTTTGTCTGCAAGCCTAGCTCCCTCCCACTTACACACCACAAGCAGCACATACACGGGTCCCTGTAAGCGTGTGGGTTAGTCCGAATGGTAGTCTTTGGCTCTTAGTGGATGGCTGTCTCACTGTGGTAACCATGGTTAACAGAGGCGTTTGCATTCGCCAATCAAACAGGACAGGGAGAGGGATGGAGGATGGGGGCGTAAGTAGTGAGAGAAGAAAGCGGCGGCAGCAAATGGATAGCAAACAGGTTAAATAATGAACAGGTTAAATAATGAATGAATGAATGAATGGTATTCTCAACCATTTCAAGTGATTTTATCCTAGTTAGATCTGTAACTAAAGATTATGTTAAAAATTCATCTAGTGATTAAAGACAAACCATTTTGATTCAATAAATTAGCTGTTCATTATTTTAACCAGAATCCAAACAGTTCCATCATTTTAAAAAGTTAATTTTGTCTTCATATGTTTAAGGCTACTGCTCAATTACCTCACATGTTTCGGCGGTATACTTCTGCCATCGTCACCGCCGAAACATGTCAGGTAATTGAGCAGTACTAGCTTCTTTAAATTGTTTTGCCTTATTACAAGAACCTTTGAAGTCAGTTCCATCATATGTAATTACTGATCTGTTTGAGTCATAAAACCATGTTTAATGTGTTCATAGGCAAAGCAAATGTATGTATAAAGCACCTTTCATGCAGAAGCAAACCCTGGGTGTTTAGCAGGCACAGAAAGAACATAGTCTGTATACACTATATACTGTATCCCTTTAATTGGTTAATCAATCAATAACAATCACTCAACATAGTTGACGATGATAGACGATGATAGAAAAAACTGTAGTTGTTGCAGGATTGTTGCAAGATTCATGAGTTATTAGAGTTTTGCATGCAGATACATTTGCTGTGTATGCCACAAGAATATTGTGAAATGACAAACAGTTACTATGATACTGGAGAGAGAGATGGTTACATAGCCGTGCCTAATGTACAAAAATGGAGATGGACATTATGACAATGTAGGATCCTGGACATGTATTTTTGCTAACTAAAACAGTGTTACTGTGTGTGTACACATTATTGTCATGCTTTTACCTGAAGCATCTTCCTTAATATCCAGCCTGCTGCCAATCCCAGCTCCAATAGAGCTCATAATTTTGTCAATCTGAAACAAGGGGAAAAGGTCACATAGTTAGATACTGTAGGTGTACACAATGTGCAAGAAGTAACCCTTATTTCTAGATTCACATGTCATGAAACATGTGAAACATGATCATTATGGTGTGCTAAATGTCAGCCATCCCCTTGAGAATTGAAAATGTGTTGGGAAGCAGACAGGGAGAAGAATTGAGAACAATAACTGAAGAAACTGATTTGGACAGAGCTGAAGTGCCCTCATTATATGAAGTACAGAGGAGGTGCAGTCGTCCCTGACCACCGCCATCCTCTGCAGAAACTGGCAGTTTAAAACAGCACTAAACAGCGGCCAGAAAACAGCCCCACCATAGCAACACGTCTGCCCCTGTTACGACGCAAAGCTAACGCTGTCGGAAGAAACGCCCATGTAAGGAAATTAGCTCCAGTTAGCTTATATTCAAACCGGCTTCTTCCACATTCAGCACACGCTATGGTGACGGCAGCACTTGGACAGTCCACTCCTAAAATATGACAATCTGCACAGCATATTGATACTTGTAGATTCAATGAACTATTTTACAAACTTTTCCATCACAATGATATTAGTATACAAAACAAACGTTAAAAGTTGATGTCTGAATATATGTTATTCTCAGAACACTGTGGCTCCATTGAGCTACTGCCTCACAGAGGTTTGTTTCCCTCCTAGATAAACGTTTCCTAGAGCCTTATCATGTCCACTACATATGTAATACAAAATAATTGCTGGGAATTATAAAATTATACCAAGACATGTACAGTATAAGAAAAAAAAATACTGGGTGCTAATGAGGCAAGTCTTCCATTTCACATGAATGACCCACTTAAGTTTAAGTGGCTGTACCTCTTCCCATTCGGCTGTGAAGGAGGGCGTCCTCTCCAGTCTCCCCACTGGAGTGATGGTGTCTCCTGGGCTGGGGCTCTCCGTGCTCTGTGCCCGAGTGCCAGACCCCCAACTGTGCTCTTCCTTTACAACACACAACCACTTGTGTCAGTTAATCAAACAGACTATGTATCCACCCCATAATTTATTTATGGGTGGGTAGTGGGAACATAGTCTGGAAATCCCAGTGTGTTCTTGGTGGACTGCACAGTGTCCTAGATCAGTGGGATAACTAAATGGCTGATTAGCTTATTGCCAGTGTTTGAACTGCTCTCAGTTCTGCAGATAGAAGTTTAAGCTGTAACTAATGTATGTGCTTTTATGTGCTTTTTTTTCACACATTGTGTGAGGTTTCTAATGGTGTGCATTACCAGGCAGCTGGAAGTTTACATTCACTCTGTAAAAAGAAATAAAAAAGTGGAACTTCTAACTTTGGAGAATATAAAATAAATGATTCAAAAGATTTCCCTCTTTCAATTTTGTACAATTGGGCAATAAATCATTTTGGTAAAAAAAAGCTGACCTGAAATCTTGAGAACCAAATCATTCTAAGGTTTACACTTGAAGGTCTTACCTGTATCGGAGACACCCCGACTAGATTGGAGTCAGATTTAGACAGTGATTTGGACAATTGCAGGTCGAGCACACTACGAGGTATGGACCGCATCCTCCCCAGAGTGCACGTCCCAGAGGAGGGGTCCTTCGCCAGTGTCTCAGCCAACTCTTTGTTCTGATTGGACGAATACGAGGGAGGGCGGTCCAGAGTAGCCCACCCCCGAGTAGAGTCTGTGCGCTCAGTGTTTTTGGGTCGAGCCTGTTCCTGATTGACCTGTGTGTTGAAGATAGTCCTGTACACCACCTGGGGTTTCTTAGCCTCAGCAGCCCCCTTTTGTTGGGACGACTCAGAGTCTGTCCTTGAGAGGATCTGCGTAGGCCCACCTCCAATGACTATGCTGAATTCAGGCGTCTGAAGGAAGGCGCTCTGGACTTCCTTGGAGGCGTACTTTTGAGGTTTGTGGTTGTACAGGTGATAAGGCGTGTCCGGGGTCTCACAAGCTGGAGAGGATCCATGAAGAAGTCCAGCAAACTCTTCTGGGATGTGGCTCTTCCGGCGGTCCTCCAGTAGCGCTGCTGGAGGAGGGGCAGAGGGGTCCCGCTGGAAAGCACCGTCGTCTAGATCAAAACACACAAAAGCAATAGCTTATAACACACATTTGCATCATGTTCTGCAATATTCAGCCTATTATTATCAAGCTAACCTACTTTCTTGGAACAAACAAACCCAACACTGAAAGTGAGGAGAATAATTTTGTTTTACACACATGTACACTACACGTAGATACAAAACTATAACCCTTTTATAAATATATGTATAAAACTAAAATGGGGTTGAAATAAAACACAAAAACATCCAAAGCTGTGAATTGGTGATAAGAGGATGGAACTGTGGCTTGTGCTTTTCTTTAGAATTCCGCGAAAGGGAAAATTAAACTCCTCTTCTGCCTCTTTCTTCTGGTTCACAATAATGTGCAGCCGTCTTTATGAACTTATAATAAACACACTTTAGGCAGAGAAAATCTCACCATAGTGGAGAGCTTCTCTTACTTACTTTTTTTACTTTTTAACTGTGCATCTGGCTGTTCCTACACCCGTGAGGAACTTATGAACATCCGACCCACCGTTCCCATGGACCTATTGCCTGTTTTCTTGGCATCTGCGGCTGATTTAGTTCATGTCCTAGCCAAAAAAGTGTGGGCCCGTAAAAGGGGAAAGCGAGGAGGCCTGCTCGTGCGTCTTAGGAGGAGAGGAGCGCGCACGGCTCTCCCCGGCATTTTTCTCTCCAACGTACGCTCACTGGGCAATAAGATGGACGAACTCAGCCTGCTCATGAGAAGAAACAAGGACTTCGCCACATCCTGTGTCCTCTGCTTCACTGAGACCTGGCTAAATGAGCGGATCCCGGACTGCGCTCTGGAGCTGCAGGGCTTTGGGCTGTTTCGCGCGGATCGCCATTGTGCGCTCTCAGGGAAGAGCAGAGGCGGAGGGCTCTGTTTCTACGTCAATACAAACTGGTGTAACGATGTGACAGTGATCTCCAAGCACTGCTCTCCTGCTCTGGAATATCTTTTCATTCATTGTAAACCATATTACTCCCCGCGGGAAATTGTTTCATTCATTCTTGCCTCTGTTTACATACCGCCATGCGCGGACGCGCGCGAGGCTCAGCGCGCACTCGCAGAGCAAGTACTGTGTATGGAACGCTTATACCCGGACTCTCTGATTATTATCCTGGGGGATTTTAATAAGGGAAACTTGAGCCAGGAATTACCCAAATACAGACAGTTTATCAAATGCCCGACCAGAGAGGAGAACACTTTGGATCACTGTTACACCACCGTGCGCGGAGCTTTTCGCGCTGTTCCCAAGCCAGCCCTCGGCTTCTCAGATCACTCCATGATACATCTGGTTCCTGCTTACAGACAGAGACTAAAGCTCTCGAAACCTGCAATGAGGAGCTCCAAAGTGTGGTCTGATGAAGCTGTGGAAGAGCTGCGCGCATGCATGGAATCTACAGACTGGGACCTTTTCAGAGCTGCCACAGATAGTTTGGATGAATATACGGACACTGTAACGTCATACATCCACTTCTGTGAGGATAGCATCATTCCAACAAGGACCAGGGTCATCTATAACAACGACAAACCCTGGTTCACTGCTAAACTCCGGCAGCTCAGGAAAGCAAAGGAGTCTGCTTTCAGGGAGGGGGACCGCAGCGGCTACAAAGCAGCTAAATATCAGTTCAGGAAAGAACTGAAAGCAGCCAAGTCCCGGCACAGAGAACGACTACAGGAGCAGTTTGGTAACAACGATACTGCTTCTGTCTGGAGGGGCCTACGGGAGATCACCAACTACAAACCCAAAGCCCCCCCCTGTGCTGATGACCACAAGCTAGCTGACGATCTGAACTTATTTTTCAGTCGCTTTGATGCTGCCCCTGACACCTCTCCCTCCCCCACCCCCCACTACTCTAACGACCCACCCATCAGCCCTGCCCCCAGCCTAACAATAGCCGCTAAAGAGATTAAACAACTCTTCCTGAGGCTGCACCCCCGCAAAGCTCCTGGCCCGGACCACGTGTCTCCGGCCACTCTGAGACACTGCGCCAGTGAGCTTACTCCTGTGTTCACGGACATTTTCAACTCCTCTCTGCAGTCCTGCCATGTCCCGGCCTGCTTCAAATCCTCCATCATTGTCCCCGTTCCGAAGAAGCCCAGGATCACAGGACTCAATGACTACAGACCTGTAGCACTTACGTCTGTCGTCATGAAGTCATTTGAACGCCTGGTTCTCTCCCATCTCAAGTCCCTCACCTCCCCCCTCCTGGACCCCCTGCAGTTCGCCTACAGAGCCAACAGATCTGTAGACGACGCCATTAACCTGGCCCTCCACCACATCCTACAGCACCTGGACTCCCCGGGGACCTACGCCAGGGTCCTGTTCGTGGACTTCAGCTCTGCCTTCAACACAATCCTGCCATCCCTGCTCCAGGACAAGCTCTCCCAGCTCAACGTGCCCGATTCCACCTGCAGGTGGATCACTGACTTCCTGACGGACAGGAAGCAGCGAGTGCGTCTGGGGAAGAATGTCTCGGACTCTCGGATTATAAATACAGGAGCCCCACAGGGCTGTGTTCTTTCTCCCCTGCTCTTCTCCCTGTACACCAACCACTGCACCTCCAGCCACGACTCCGTGAAGCTGATCAAGTTCGCGGACGACACCACCCTCATTGGACTCATCTCCAACAACGATGAGTCCGCCTACAGGAGGGAGGTGGACCGGCTGGTGTCCTGGTGCAGTGGTAACAACCTGGAGCTGAACGCCCAGAAGACAGTGGAGATGATTGTGGACTTCAGGAAGAGCACTGTCCCCCCGCCCCCACCCTCCGTGATGGACTCCCCCATCACCTCTGTGGAGTCCTTCCGTTTCCTGGGCACCACCATCACCCAGGACCTCAAGTGGGAGCCGACCATCAGCTCTCTCATCAAGAAGGCCCAGCAGAGGATGTACTTCCTGCGGCAGCTCAGGAAAGCCAAGCTGCCTGCACAGATGTTGGTGCAGTTCTACACGGCCATCATCGAGTCCATCCTCACCTCCTCCATCACCGTGTGGTTCGCTGGAGCCACAGTCAGGGACAAACAGAGACTACAGCGCATTGTGCGCTCTGCAGAGGAAGTGATCGGCCGCAGCCTTCCATCGCTGCAGGACCTGTACGTCGCCCGAGCTCGAGGCCGGGCTGGTCGTATCACAGCCGACCCCTCTCACCCTGCACATGGACTATTCCAACCACTCCCCTCAGGCAGGAGGCTGCGGTCCATCAGGACTAGAACCTCCCGCCACAAGAACAGTTTCTTCCCCTCTGCTGTTGGACTCTTGAACACTTCTTAACCTGTCCCCCCGCCCTTTATAAAGTCACTTTACTGCCCATCATACGTCACTTTACTTCACTGTACTGCTGTCACCTTACATTGTGTGCACCATGTGCACTTGTATATTGTAAATAGTAACTGTAACTCTATTTTAAATTTAAATTTATTCTTTAGAAGTGTTTTTTATTCTTATTTTTATTATCTCTTTTTGACTGTTGCACTGAGCCAAAGCAATTTCCAAGTCTGTGACCTCCCGTTACTTACGTTGGCAATAAAAATGATTCTGATTCTGATTCTGATTCTGATTCTGATTTATATAACAACAACAACGTATTCTTGTATAGCCCTAAATCACAACAGTGGTCATCTCAGAGGACTTAACAAAACCATTGAAATCACCAACACAGATCAGAGAACCAACAGTTAAGACACAAAACATGATTAATTGTGGCCATGAATGAATATGAATATGAATATAAGCAGAAGAGAACTGCAAGTGTGGTCTTATTCTGACGACCATTTAATTTTTGTTTGACTCTGCTCACACCGCACATCATAAGAAAGTAAGTAATCTATATTTATATAGCGCCTTTCACGAACCCGAGTCACAAAGCGCTTTACAATTGGGGGCATTTGTCTCTCACTCCACACAGAGAGCGAGATCGCCAGCACAGAAGGCGCATGCCAGACCTATTGTACTGTACATGTTTTTAGTGGTAGGGGAAACTGGAGCCCCCAGAGGAAACCTACATAGAAACTGGGAGAACAAGCAAATTCCACTCAGAAAGGCCCCGTTCCTATCCATGCCCCAAATCATAACATACATCTGACATTTTACAATAGCAAAAAAAAATGGCTGAACAAAAAACAAAAGCTTTATTCTCTGCAACATGTAACTCATGGTATTTGTAAAATTATGAGTTGTCTAAGATTAGAAAGATCTTCTAACGTGACAAGGTGTGTAAAGAGGATACTACTGCTTAATTAACATAAAGAAGACATAATGAACTTTTTACATTTAATGAGTGGTCTTGTCAGTACAGAATTCACTCGCTTAAAGCTGTAAAACACACACAGCGACACCAACACAAATTTCTAAAGAGCAAAGACCATTATTTTGCCTTATAAATGATCTCTTGAATATAATCTGCTTGCATGCAGCTTGGTTCCCTGCCTTTTCTTTCCTGTCAGTGCCTGTTAACATCACAGAGGGCAATGTAATCACTTCCAAATCTCTGCGTCTTTATGAAGTCTTCAGCCCTGGACCAAACTTTTTCTGAAGTGACGTCACTAATCACTTTCCCCGGTCTGACCCTCGCTCATTGACACATTATACAAAATGTAAATCCAACGCAGCAGCTGCACGAACAGTCTGCTGTCAGAGCTATAGTCTTTGATAAGTGTCCTCTTCATGGCGCAACACATTTTGTATTGCATAATGAAATATGACAGTACAATATAAAACAAGACAGTCTGGCATTAGGGAAAGGAAATCCTGGCTTATGTTTATGTCGCACTTGCATAAAAAGATGTCTATAATTGGATTTACACATACAGTATGCAATGTTCTTTCAGATGCCACTTTTTAAATTTCCACTTCATAACATTTGTTTATCCTTACATAAATACTAACCGCCTTCAGGTAATGAGTGTTGAGTCATCGTGTTACATGGACATTTTAGCCTACACAGACAGAAAAGGCTTTGGTTCAGATTAATTCCCACCAATTAAGGGATTAACTCAAAT